TGACTTTTGGGTCCTGTTGGGCTGCATGTGGCCTGCCTGCCCCATTTGCACTCGGCATCCTGAGGGGTTGGAACATGCGTGCAGTGTGCCGCGGTTGGGTCCCGGCCGTTCGATAGGAGGCTCGAACCCCCCGTTTTCATCATGGCTAGGGTCTCTACAAAGTTTCTTTTGCGCCCGCCTTACACTCATCTTTGGGACCGCATTCCAAGGGTCCTGTGGGACACGTTGGCGGATGAGTTCTTCTCCCCGAGACAGACGGACGGGGAGCTGCTGGTCCTGATGTGCCTGCGCCATGGCACTGCAGAGGAAGGGAGGCAGCTGGGCGGGGAGCCGGCCATCCGCTTCGCTCAGCTCCTGGAACTCTCGGGCCAAGATGACCAAGTGGTACCAACGGACTACTTCAACGGCCTGGTGGCGTCGGCGGCGGGCAGGCTTCCTTTGTCCGCGGCGGACCTGGCCGACCTTTGGGATAGCCTATGGTTCCTCCTCATGGCGGCTGCGGATGGCAAGCCGAGCGAGAACTTTTCCCCGCTGGAGAACGAATGGGACCGCCAGGACCAACTGAGGTGGTTCTCGCGAGATGACCCACCCCCACTCCAACAGCCGGAGCTTCTGAAGTGGAGGCACTGGCGGCCCGGGAAGATCAGGGAAATGGAGCCCACGACCCAGCGAGCGCTGGAACTCCATATGTGCGGGAAATGGGCGGAACGGCTCCTTGCCCACTTCGCCCCCTTTGCGGAGCACATTGCATACATGCAGGACATCCTGGAAGAGGACTTCCGCAAGGAGGCATTGGACCTCCTGGGGGACAGCAGGTTCCGGACGCTCAGGCAACATTGCCTGGTCTACGAGAGTCTCCGCAAGAGAGGCTTCACCGTGATTCCATGGCAGGAACGACATGTCCGCTCTCTCCTCAACCAGCTCGCCGATGAGGAGGTCACCCCGTGCAAGTTGCAACACCCTCAAGTGGTTCTCAAAGACCTTCGGATTGCTGAAGATAGATGAGCTCCATCGCCTCAAGTCCAAGAAGAGCTCATTGGAAGAGGCGCTCACGGACACGGTCACCAGGCCACAACGTAAGGCGGTGGTCCCCAGCAAAGAGGTCATTTGGGCTCTGGAGGAGGGGGCCGGCTACGATCGCCTGGGTGCCACCGGCCCCGGCACGCAGGAGGCCCCGGGAAAGAGCAGACACGAGGTGCTGGACGCTTTCATCCTGCATTTCGCCCGGTTCCAGGTTGGTTGCAGCGCTCGCTTCAATGACCTCCAGCACGTTCACCCCAAGGACCTTATCCACACCAGCAACACTGTGGAGCTGAAGGGGCAGACCAAGACGGTCTCTGCAGCACGAATCAATCGCAACCCGGTCCCCTTGATTGCTCCGAAGTACAGCTTCACGGGGATCCCCTGGTGGACTACCTGGGTGGCCTCGGTAAGGCGGTTGGTATCCGAGGAGGCATTCCAGGACATGGATTACTTGCTCCCGACGGTGAGCAAAGACTTTGCAGGGCTGATCCCGCGGCCTTCCACACCGGAAAGGGCTCTGAGATGGCTCAAGGATGCTATTCTCCGTCGGGGTGTCACCCGGGGTTGGTGAAGCCGCTGTCGTGGCACTCGTTCCGGGTGTTCATCCCGGACTGCGCCTTCCAGATGGGAATCCCCCGGGAGCGCCGCATGTACCTTGGCAACTGGCTCACGGAGAGCACGGCAGATGTCTACGTGCGGGAGAAGCGCAACGTGGTTGTGGAGATCTGGGGCCAGGTAGCGCAGAAGGTCCCCAACCTGAACCTCGGGCCAGGCAGGGAACGCAGGGAGGACTTGAATCACCCGGACTGGGCGGACCCGCTCCCGCCGCCACATCACGGACGCAGGACCGGAGGGCCGTGAGGACCAAACCGAAAGAAGGGGAGGCATCCCCTTCAGTACCCTCAGGGAGCGCGCCATCGACTCGCTCATGGTCAGTGGTGGAACACGGACCCGAGGACACACCAGTGAAGGCTAAGGACCTGTTTCCCGCCACCCCGGACCTCCCCCTTCGGGTGGTGGCGGCGGTCAAACGCACAGGCAACGCCGGCCAGTCCAGAATCCACCTGCTGAATGTCGAAGGCACGGCCGTGGGGTGTGGTTGGCGACCGGCGGCTTCTAAGGTCCAGGAGCTCTCGGTGCTGGACTACATGACGGAGCAGGAGGCCTATGGCAAGTGCGAGCGTTGCTTCAAGAGGCATGGCTTCCCGGCGGACTGGGCACTGGAACCTGCGGAGGTCCCCACACTGCAGGAGGACTCGGACTCCTCGGCGGACTCGGGCTCTGAAACGGATGACTCGGTGGACACCCAGTCGGAGGGCGAGGTGGTGGCCCTACCGTTGGCACCCCCGGCCCTGGCGACCAAGGGGATGGGAGGCCCGGAGTGTGCCAGACTGTCCTTCGGAAATGGCGCTATCAGTCTGCACACCCGTTCTTCAGTTTTTGAGATTGTGAGTTGGGTGGCCCATGGGGCCCACCCAGCCTTTGTCATCTGACAGGGGAAGATGAGTCCCTGGCACCAACACACTGCTCGGATAAAAGAGTTATCGCGTGCTTGTGTGTGGTGCCGTTTGGTTAGCTTGCATACACTTTGTTAATGTTGAAACGCATGTGGAAACATGAACTGTGTTTGCAATGCTTGACCATAATGGCGCATGCCATTTTGGCTCAAGCTTTGCCCTGGGTTCTTTGAACCCAATTTGTGTGAAAAACCCACCCACCCACACCAAGGTCGGAGGTCATGGCGGCCAAACCACCGGAGGAGGTCCCAGCGGAGTTCAAGGAGGACGTGGCAAAGTTGCACAAGCCACTGGCGGCCATCCTGGTGGGGAAGGAAATCCCCTGGGCCACCCAGGCGGCTCTGGGCGCATCGGGATACGTCACGGTGGAAGACCTGGCGGATCGCTGGGACACCCCGGCGGCGGCTAGGGAGAATGGTCCCCGGGACCTGGGATTCCGGGATGGGGAGAACGGGTTCAACGCCCAGACCTCGGCCTTCACGGCGATGCGCCTCCTTCAGGCAGTCCGGGTGGCAGCCAACTTGGTCCGGGGGGGCAACCAAGGTGATCACCCGGCGGGCCAGGCGGGCCCGACAAAGGCGCCCTTGGAGGTCCTGTGTGACAGGCGCCAGCTGGAGGATGCTTACGTGGCCACGCATGGGACCCCGAAGCCGAGGTTGGAGTTCCAAGGGAGTGATGGCTACCTCAAGAAGCAGTGGCACATGATTGCCAAGGGTGAGCTGGGCTACATCCCGGCAAAACACATCGTGAGCGCGCTCCCGGAAGAAGGGGAACGCCCCTCAACCCACAAGAAGATCACGGTGGACGGCTGGGACAGGGAGGATGAAGAAGAGGTGAGGAGCCACCCTACATCCCGGCGCCAGCTGGAACGATTGCACCTAACCTTCAGGACGACGCTCCTGATGTGCACGGCAGCACTGCCACAGTTTGGCAACCTGAAGGTCACCAAGGAGGAGCTGGATGATTGGTATGCCTGGTTCTATGGGGAAGACATCGCCGGCAGGAAGCCTCCCCCGAGCGACACCACCTTGCTGTTTGCAGAGCGCAATGCATGGCGCAAGATCCACGAGATGGTGCACCAGGGCACCACTCTCTCCGATGCCCTCAAGAATATCAGGGGCGACTTCCTCTTCTGGCAACGGGAGGTCTATGAGCACCTCAACAGGGCGCCGGAGAAGGGGAAGAGCAAGGGCAAGCCCGGTCAGGAAGGATGGGTGCCTCACCTTCCCAAGTGACAGGAGGCCACTCAGGGTGCCATAGGCCCCGTGGCTTCCCGGTCTCAGTTGGGACCACAGGCCACCAGTGCGAGAGTGCACACAGAGGGGGAGAGCCAACCCCACCAGAGCCACAGCGCAGAGCGGGGGAGGCCAGGACGGCCTCAGGTGGGAGGGGACTTCTCCAGGGTGCCACCGGCCCCGGAAGCCCCTTCATCGAGGAAGAGGAGCGGTCCCAGCCAGGGCACTCCAGAAGGGCGGAAGCATCCCTTTCCCCCGCACCCACCGAGGCAGTGGGAAGACCCCCCAGAGAGACCCAGAGGTGAGGATCCGCCCGGCAAGGGGCGTTCCAAGCAGATCCCAAGCGGAGGATTGCGGCTCTGGAGATGCTGGGCACGCTCTTCCTCTGTAACATGATCCTCACGCACCAAGGCCCTCTGTCCTCCCGGGTCCGACTCCCGGTGGGCAGTGACAATCAGGGCAACGTCATGGCGATGCTCAACCTTGGATCCAAGAAGCCCTACACGGCGGCGATCCTGATGGAGCTGGTCTTCCTGCTCCACACCCATGGCTGCTCGCTGGCGGCCAACCACGTGCCCCGTGAATTCAATCAATGGGCTGATGAGCTGACGCACCCAGATTTCTCTAGGTTCGACCCTTTGCAAAGGGTCCCCCAAGCAGGAACTCTGCGAGGAGTTCGTTTTTCTCCCGCGTCTCCTGAATGGAGATGCGTTTGATCTTAGCGTGGGCCCACCCATGCTCCCGTGACCGGAGCCGGTGGGCGACTCACTTCCCCTGGTGGCAGACCCCCCTGTGGCCTGGGTGCCACGGGCCCCGGCTCAGGGGCGGGCGCTATCAGTCTGCACACCCGTTCTTCAGTTTTTGAGATTGTGAGTTGGGTGGCCCATGGGGCCCACCCAGCCTTTGTCATCTGACAGGGGAAGATGAGTCCCTGGCACCAACACACTGCTCGGATAAAAGAGTTATCGCGTGCTTGTGTGTGGTGCCGTTTGGTTAGCTTGCATACACAAAAAAAACATGCCTTCGGGGTTGGAAAACCATGGTTTGGTGTAAATCCGCCACCCATAGGACGAAGGGTCTGCCATTTTGCGAACCCCAATTCCTACATAGGAGTATGTATACTGTTTCTGGGGATTATCAGAGTCAGAAAATAGGGCTGTTTCGCTTGAACCTACCACTTCATTAGGGGGAGGGGGTGAGTTTGACCATGGTAAAATTCACCAAGGTATGTGCAACACGAACGTCGATGGCCGGCAGAAGGTGATGTTTGCGCTCACCGCCATCCGCGGCATTGGACGCCGCATCTCAAACATTGCCCCTCGCCTGAAGGAGATCTCTTTTCCCCTTTTTGGGTGCTTTCAGCCTTTTAAAGTGGGTTTCCCTTGGATGGGGTTAGTGTTATAGGGGGAAATATAGGGAACCCTGGTTCAACAAGGGGATGCATGTCTTTTGTTAGATCCTTTTGTCAGCTCCTTTAAAAAGGCTCCCAAATTGGGACCTTCTCTTGAGGAGCTCCTTTTGCGACCCCAAATTAAATGGATTGGGATCTGTTGAACCCTCACCTGCAAGCACAAGAGACCATTTCCTAGTTGTTCAGTGGATTCCACACTCTAAATCAATGCGTTTCCCCACTAGAAGTAGTCAACTCCAAAAGGCAACCCCTTGTCTAAGTGGATCGCTGGGCTGGGATTGAGGTGCTTGCCCACTTGCAACCTGTTTGGGGAATCTATTTGGGTAGGTCTTGTTGTTTTAGTTGGTTCCCTTTTCGCTTGGTTTTAAAGGAAAGCCAAAAACAAACCAACCTATTGTGATTTTTTTGGGGGGGGGGAAATATTCCCTGCCACGGGGGGGGGGGGGGGCAAAGCACAGACACACCCATTTGTCCCTTTCAATCCCGTCGCCCCAGCGGCAAAGCTCTGCTTTCGCAGAACTCCTGCCGGGCGCGGTGGGGGATGAAACCAGCTCGTCCAGGGCGGTTAATTCGGATTTTGTGCATGTGAAGATGCCGACTTTGTTTGGCATTTGCGCTGCTCTGGAGCTTGGTTTGCGCATGTGTGATTGCTGACTTATGTTGGCTTCTGCATTGGGACGATGCGGCTGTACAGCGGGCTTGGCGCCAACTTCCCATATGCAAGAATAGCGAGCCCCCCCCCCCCCGCAAACTGGTGGCCTTCCTTTTGGTATTCCTTTAAACCGACCAACAAATGGCACACCCATACGTTGAATCCATAAATCCTCGCAAGACACATTGCTTGGCTCTGAATCGTTGCTGAGGTCTGCAAGAAGTGCGACATCGACCTCAACAAGCGCGCTGGTATCCCGGCAGCGCTGCGACGTGCACTTGTTTGGGGGTGAGTGAGTAGGATGGGTTAGGGGGGAGTGAGGCGGGTTGCGTGAGGCAGAGAGTAGTGCGGTGGGGTGGGGTGCCTGGGTGCAGGCGGGCACGTGGGCGGCTTGCATTTTGAAAGTTCCATGTTTAAGTCGCACAAATGGACTGGGAGGTGAGTGCAGCTTCAGCTTAAGTAGTCCCTGGCTAGGATATGCACCCTCCCTTTGTACCCTCCACCACCCCTTTTCCTGTGACTACGCAAGGTTCAATTAAAAGAGCGCTAAGGTGAGTTGCCGACTAATGGGAGGGGGCAACATTTGATCCTGGCACAGTCCAACGTATTTCATCCAGTTTGTCAGATGGGCAACTTTCTGCAGCGGTCCCCAAAAGTCAGCAAGGTGAGCCCATCTCATCTAAGTTGCACCCAAGGCCCCTTTGTTTTCATACCCAACTGGTGCAACCGGCGCGACCAGTTCAGCACTCTGTGCCAAATCGCCCCAAACATGGTGAGATCTTTGCCACAGGAAGCCAGGCGCAAGGGTAGACTGCGCTCCCTGCACGTTACACCTTGGGACCTTATATAAATCCTAAACCAAAGCTCCAGCTGGGTGCGTATCTGTCTGAGGCTTGTCTCAAAATATGGAAGCCCTCAGTGCCCTCAGAATGTGCCGCCGAGCCTGAGGTGAGCTGACCACCGATGAGGTGAACAAAATCGTGGCGGTGGTGAGCAAGCCCCTGGAGTTCAAGATCCCCGCGTGGATGCTCAACAGGCGGCCGCGCCGTCCGCTCGGACAAAACAAGCAAGCAAGCAAGCAAGCAAGCAAGCAAGCAAGCAAGCAAGCAAGCAAGCAAGCAAGCAAGCAAGCAAGCAAGCAAGCAAGCAAGCAAGCAACAAGCAAGCACGCAAGCACGCAAGCGCAAGCACGCAAGCAAGCAAGCAAGCGCACGCAGCACGCAAGCACGCAAGCACGCAAGCACGCAAGCAGCAAGCACGCAAGCACGCAAGCACAAGCAAGCACGCAAGCACGCAAGCACGCAAGCAAGCACGCAAGCACGCAAGCACGCAATGCAAGCACGCAATGCAAGCACGCAATGCAAGCACGCAATGCAAGCACGCAATGCAAGCACGCAATGCAAGCACGCAAAGCACGCAATGCAAGCACGCAGTGCAAGCACGCAGTGCAAGCACGCAATGCAAGCACGCAATGCAAGCACGCAATGCAAGCACGCAACGCAAGCACGCAACGCAAGCACGCAAGCTTGCAAGCCCGCAAGCACGCAAGCGCGCAAGCGCGCAAGCGCGCAAGCACGCAAGCGCGCAAGCACGCAAGCACGCAAGCACGCAAGCACGCAAGCACGCAAGCACGCAAGCACGCAAGCACGCAAGCACGCAAGCACGCAAGCACGCAAGCACGCAAGCACGCAAGCACGCAAGCACGCAAGCACGCAAGCACGCAAGCACGGCAAAGCACGCAAGCAAGCAAGCAAGCAAGCAAGCAAGCAAGCAAGCAAGCAAGCAAGCAAGCAAGCAAGCAAGCGAGCGAGCGAGCGAGCGAGCGAGCGAGCGAGCGAGCGAGCGAGCGAGCGAGCGAGCAAGCGAGCAAGCGAGCAAGCGAGCAAGCGAGCAAGCGAGCAAGCAAGCAAGCAAGCAAGCAAGCAAGCAAGCAAGCAAGCACACATACAGTTGAGGTTTTCCTTTGTGAGAACTCTGCTTTGTGTTTCCTTGGTGTCACTTCCACATTCGGGAGCCATGTGGGGAAGCGCCCATGTGCCTTCCGGGAGGGCCATGGATGGCTCAGACACAGGGAACAGCTGCTTGCGGCTGGTTAAAAAGGGCCAATCCAGGGATGCTTTAAACCATGCAACCTTTTTTTTGCAATCGTGGTGTTTCCTTGAGGTTTCCTTTTGACGCACCATCTTTTGCCCGGTTCGCACTAGGCAGTTCCCACTGTTTGTCCCCCCGCACAATTGAAAATAAGGTCTGAGCACAGTACTCCCTCCAAGCCGGGAAGCTTTGAGCTTCCACGCGTGGGCGGCTTGATCACATTTGCCTGTTATTAGGGACACCCGCTATCTCTGCAATCATGATTGTGCTTGCCCTAGCTGCAAAGGATGTGTCTGAAAGTAGGAGACCCCGTGAGTATGTGTTCTTGTTGTGGTTGTGTCTTTTTGTTTGTTTGTAACACCAGCTCTGAAGGGTAAATACCCTCAAGAACAAGACAGACACAGACACAAATCTTGCCGAACCCAGAGAAGTCTCAACCGAGGCATCCTTCAAGGGGCTCGCCGAAAGGGGTGCAGAATTTGACTTCCATGTCCTGAAAGCCACATCTTGCCGCACCCGGAGCTACCTTCATGCCAGAGCTGTGCTGCAATGTTCCCTCAACCAAAAGGCGTTGTCTTCTATCCCAAGGGCGCAGGCCTGGAATGCCGGCTGCGGCCAGAATTTGCATTGACGTGCGCCGAAGGTCGAACCGCAAATCGTGAATTCAGGCGAAGCTCGGGGCTTGGAACCTCGATCGGCCAATGCACGCAAAAAGATACTTCCTCGAATTTTCAGGTCACTTGGGGGTTGAGCAAAAAGTCATTGACATGGGATGACCATTGGGGAAAACCACGAGAAAGGTTGTATTTCCCACCAAGCGTGAACAGTTAGCATGGTCATTTGGGCCGAAGGGAAGATTGAGCAACCACCACTTGCAGCAACACGAAGCAACAACAACACGGGCCGCGGAAAAACGGTTTTTCACCTCGCCAGGCAGCGCGACAACAAGGAGGGCAAGACCGCGCAGTGGGGCATCCCAGCCGTTTGGGATTTGCAGTTGGTGGGCTCTTGGTGGCCCTGGGTGGTGAGTTACCCACATTTTTTGAACAGTGGGTTCAACACCCAGACGGTTTTTTTAGAGGGCCCGCCATGGGGCCTGTTTTTGACATCAGCCTGCTGTTTTTGTTTAAGTGTTTTCCGAAAGGAAACCACCATGGGGCGAGTATCTGTTGGTTCTTTCAGCCCTCAGTTGACCAACAGGGGCTGTGAATCCTGAAAGCTTCCCTTGGGCTCAGGGATGTGCCGTGATCCCTCGTTTTTGGTCATGCCAAAAGGCTGGGCTTCGCCAATTCGCAATACTGTGGATGGTTGCGAAATCCATTTCGCACCACCTAAGAAACCTTGGGAATGATGATTCCCCTGTAAATATCAACAAACAATGGTTTTCTTGTTTCTTGGGTGGTGCACGATTGTGTCCATCCACAGTATCTTTGTGTTTTTTTTGACAACGAATCATTAGGCCCATTTGGCAGTGAATTGCTATGGGGACTGATGAATGGCAAACCCTCCCGCCCAGAAAGGGGCCCGACGTGAACCAATTGATGCGTTCCTAATTTTGACACAATCACATGTTCGGAGCATATGAAGACCCAACACCACAATGGTGGCAGACAGAAAGATGGATGAACAGACATGTATATATATAGTTTCGTGTGTATATGTGTGTGTGTGTGTCAGCGTATGAAGCACATGTTGCCCACATGATTTTAGGACACGAAGACCTTCGAACCGGTTCGGAATTGCAGTAGCTTCCCCTATTCTTTATGGACTCATCCACCCGTATCCTAATCCAAAAAACACCTTCCAATGTGGGAGTGTCCTTCGCAATCAAAGTTCAAGCACGCACTCACACAAACACAAACCCCAAAAAGGGACCACAAAAGGGGAATGTTGACGGATGAATCAACCCAGACTTTGATCCAAGGCGTTTTTCCCAAGTGATTGGGAAGGAGGTCCAAGGGAAAGCGCGGGACAGTGGGACAATCCGCGTGATCGGCGCCAGAGAATGGATGAAACCCGATGTGACGCACCTGGGGCCGGCCGTTTTGCGGATTTCATTCCACGTGAACCCAACCAGAACGGGTGGTTTCTGCTCACATATCCACTGTCTGTACGAACTCAAAACCGGTGCCTGAAGCCTCGAATGGGTTCTTTAAATTGGACACCCCTTCTTTAAGTAGGTTCTGAAATGGGACACTATGACCTGCTGGTTCTCAGGGAATGAGGAATGGAATGACCTCTATAAACCATCCCCTACTGTGGATGGACGAAATCCTGAACCACCTAAGAAACCCTGAGAATGATAATTCCCCTGTAAACACCAACAACAACAAATGGTTCCCCATTGTTTCTTGGGTGGTGCGAAAGGGATTTTGTCCATCCACAGTGTGGATCCTGTATGGGAATCCTCCGGTTTATTCTTAAAACCTGACTCGGTGATTTCCTGAGCCATGATTCAACCGGCAGGAAGTATGCAAACTTTCTGGACCAGGCCTTGCGTGAGGCGGGATGCGAAGACGCGAAGTTCGTCGCTGGTGGAATGCGGGGGATGCTGGGGCGCTTGGTTCATGTTGGGGACCCGGAAGCACGCGGCAAGGTTTGTGTTGTTTCCCCGCGCCGTTTTTTTTTTTTTTGGGGGGGGGGGCGAAGGTTGAGTTGTTTGGGGGAAGGCGGGCTGGCCTCATTGAAAGATGTGTTGCGGTGTGGGTGACGCGAGTGGCATTGTGGCGGCTCAAAACCAGCTTTCAGGTAACCCTTAATTGGTGCTCAACTGGGACGTTCAAAGTCTTGTACCTTTGTGAGATCGTGATGTTATACTCCTGCAAGTGTCTAACGTCTAGGGTCACATGTCTTGCTGCTGTTTTGCCTCCGGACCGGACCATTGATGTCGCAGGGACTTGATAGGCATCCGAACTCTCGGGAATCCAAAGCGAACCTGGGCCCCTTCAAGCTTGGGCCGGTGGTTGGGGTGATTTGTTTGTTTCCTTGCCATCCAAGGCTGTTTTGTTGTGTATTGCCTCAAATCTGTGTTTGGTTTCCTGTGTTTCCCACTGTTTGTTTGTTTTGTTCCGTAGTTCCCTTGATCAGGTTCCCCTTAATTGGTGGTTTGGATTTGAACCCTGGTTCTTAGCGGGGGTAAATGAGAACCTCCCCAAACCACCAAACCACCAATCCAAACCACCAATCAGAGGGAAGCTGCCCATGTACGTCCTCAGTTGTTTCGGGATGAGCATTGCATTGCTGGTGGAGCTCACAATACCAGTTGCCTTCACTCGTCGCTGGAGAAGTGGCACGGTCATGACTGTGTGGCCATTTTTGTAGAGCTATGTAGACAAACATCTAACATTGTTGCGAGTTTGAACCTCGTTTTTGACATGGCCACATGATTGCTGCAGCACTTTACTGTGGCATGGACCGATGCTGCTCAACTAACACGAGAAGCTGCGTCAACTTTTTGCTGCTTGAGCTGTACTAGGCCTAGGGGCACATGTTACCCGTAAAGGCCTAGCAACAGGAATATTTGCTTAGTGAGATGCGATGTTCTGGTAAGCAGTTGTACACAACTCACCCCAAACCACCCCTACCCCCACCCCTACCCCCACCCCCCAGCCCCCTACCCCGACCCCCACCCACCCTCCCTCCCTCCCACCTACCCACCCACCCAACCCAACCCAACCCCACCCCACCCCACCCCACCCCACCCCACCCCACCCCACCCCACCCCACCCCACCCCACCCCACCCCACCCCACCCCACCCCACCCCACCCCACCCACCCCACCCCACCCCACCCCACCCCACCCCACCCCACCCCACCCCACCCCACCCCACCCCACCCCACCCCACCCCACCCCACCCCACCCCACCCCACCCCACCCCACCCCACCCCACCCCACGCCAGATTTGCTTCTTTGCGCTTTCGGGCCTTCTTGTGTCACGCTCATATTTTTGCCTTCATGGTCCTCCACGCCTCAACATGCTCCTTCATGCTCATTTAAATTCAGTGTGGCCCCTGAATGTTCATTTTGTCCAGCGAAAGGTTGCTTTTCTTTTGCAGGAAATCCTTCGCGCCACACACAGGACATCGAGCGCATGAAGCGCGTGCGCCTGCATCGCGGTCTGCGACACTACTGGGGTGGCTTGGAATCAGATGGCTGGTCAAGTTGCTCGCGCGCGTGCGCGTGGGTGGGTGGGTGGGTGGGTGGGTGGGTGGGTGGGTGGGTGGGTGGGTGGGTGGGTGGGTGGGTGTGTGTGTATATATATATATATATATATGTGTGTGTGGTGTGTGTGTGTGTGTGTTGGTGGGTGTTGATTGCTAGTGGGCTGGATATTTAGACTTGAACTTTTTGGGAAATCAAGTTGGGGTTCCATTGACGCTTGAAAAATGCAGTTTTTTGCAGAGGGGTCAACTGCCACCAAGGTGTGTTTCTTTCTTAGGGTGGTTCTGTTAGGTGTCTTAAAGGGAGAGCAGAGGAAACCAGCCACTTGAAGGGTTGCCCTTGGCCTCGTTTTGCGACTTTTGGGTTTTGCCCTTGTCCATCCATGCATGCAGAGAGTTACCAAGACTGCACCCATTTCTGTGTGGGACTGACCCGTACCAATCTGCAACTACCCGCGTTTTGATTGTGGCTCAATTGGGGAAACCATATCCAGGGACAGATGAGGTCGACCACTGGGTGAATACGACTAGCGCCTTAAGCCTCAATAGCGCTTGTTGGCCTCTACCCCTTGCCAAGCCTTTGGGGTGGCCTGTCCCCAAATTTCTGTGTGCACATGTGTGTGTGAGAGGCTCGGTACCCTCTTCACCTTACAAAGCAAGAGCTTAAAAGGAACACCGCGATCTTTGGGATCCCCATTTTGGCACACCCAATTTGATACAAAGAGCAGGGGATGGGATATGAATGGAATGGGTCCCTCACCAAAGTCCAAAGCGAATCGACGATCTGACCGGATCTGGTTTTCCAATGAATTCAACCATCTTTAATCACGGGACCAAAGGTGAACGTTTTTATTTCAGGGTTCCTCTGGGTCAAGTGAGATCCCGACGCCAACCATGTTTTGCCTTAGGCATCCGTGTGCGCGGTCAGCACACGAAGACCACGGGCCGTCACCGTGCTTTCGCGTCTATGGACGGCGGCGGCAAGAAGAAGTGAGAGGCGCGTGTGGCTTTTGGGCTCTGATGCTTTGGTGCTTATACTGGTTTTTGGGGCGGGGGAGAGTGTGCTTTGTTTGGCTTGTTTTTCCTCTAAGAGCCAACATACTGTGGATGGACGAAATCCATTTCGCACCACCCAAGAAGCCTTGGGAATGATTTCCGATTCCCCAACGTAAATACCAACAAACGTTATGGTTCGAGCCATGGATTCTTGGGCGGTGCGAACTGAAATTTGTCCATCCACAGTATGTTGAAGCCTCTAGGTGTAAGTAGCAGAACCCGCCCAGGGGCCCTGGGGAGGAAGGGGAACTTCCCCTGCCCCACAGCTGGATCTGGGGCAGCCCCATGGGTTTAGGGCAGGAGGGTGGTTTAGTGCTGGTTTAGGGTGGGGTTAGGTTTGGTTTAGGGCGGGTCTAATGCAAATCAGACAAACGATGATTCGACGATGATGTTGAATCCCAGGTGATGTAGCCCACCAAAATGAGACACATGGGTGTGTCCGTTTTTGTGGGTACCGTTGGGTGCAAAGTTGCACAATTGTCCCCACCCATTCATCATCCCCTTTACCCATAGGGGAATTGCGCCATTCACTGTGTTCCCTTTGGGGGTTGCTTCGAAGGACCAAAAGGACATCCACTCATTCTGGGGTTCCCTTATGAAACAAACCCCTTGGGCCTTGTCGCTCAACTTCTCCAAAGGAAACCGAAAGGGGCGGGATTTGTTCATTCCTTTACACCCCTACTTTACACCCTGCATTGTGAAGGATAGTTCTGCACCGAGCGCATCTGCACTCCCACTGCATCATGTTGCTGGGATGCTGTAGATACGTTCTGCCCAAATTCCAATTTCTCAATGTGGGTCAAACACCTTGCAACGTCAAAGATTCTGTGTTTGTGTGGGTGTGCCTGTTTTTGACGAACCCTCTTTGAATGATCTCAAGCAAGCTGTCCTTAATTCGGATTTCTGATGAGTGACACCAACTTGCCATTTTGGGGTTTGACTCCGTTAAGATGCATCCAAATTGGGGTGTCCTCCAAACTATTTATACAATATATATATATATATACATATATATGGCCATGATTTGTAATAGGCAACCATCCCAAAAGTGGTGGACCTGAATTCCCTAAATTCAAAAGGACTATGTTTGAACCCCTGGGTAAACCCCAGGAATGTTCATCGTTACCAAGGCCTTAATTAAGGCCTGGTTGAGGTTTACCTTTGATTTCGCTGATTTCTGTCTCCAAAGGCCATTTTGCAAGGACCCCTGAAAATACAAAGAAATACATGTTTTGATTGATTCCGAAGCTCCCATTTGTCATTGCAAGAGTCCCCCTCAAGGTTCAATTCCTGCAATGCGGATCGCCCCCGGTGGTTCTGCCCGCTGGGATTGATAATCAATCGCTGGAGCTGCTTCCAGTCAGAACGGGCACCTTCAGATGTTGCAAAAATGGCGAAGTCACAGTTGGTGTTGGCAACTTTTGAAGGGGCGCACGGTCCTCAAACCACAAGCCGGGTTTATAGGGTTTTAAGCCACAGATAACCACCGGGCTGAGGTTCATAGGGGTTTTCGGCCACAGATTTTGGGGTTCATAGGGGATTTCGGCCACAGATGTTTGGGGTTCATAGGGGTTTTCGGGCACAATTTGTGGCCAGTTTCCTGTATGAACCCCAGTTTTACAGCCCAGATTGACGCCGAAAACCTTGAAGACATTTGCCAAACGCCGAATCCCACCATGTGCCAGGCCAAACGCAGTTCCCTGCTAGCGCTCATGATGTACACATGACTGAGTGGCCAGTTTTCCCTGACCGGATGCCAAACCGCCTCCATCGAGCCACACTTGCGTGGCAGTCAACGCTGTCAAAGGGCAAACCGGTTCGCTTGCCAAGTGCTTTCCACCGACCGCCAAAGTTCAACCCATATTTAGCGCCCTTTTAATTTTGACCTATAACTATGAGACCAGGTCCTGGGGTTTATCCAGGGGTTCAAACATTGGACTCTTGATAAATGATGTCCAAACGGTGCCCCACAATTCATTCCCATATGAAGCAGAATCTCAACATATAACATATGGGTGTGCCTTTTTCGGGGTACCCCTTTTAGTGGCTGAAGGGAATCCAAAAGAAACACCGAAGTCGTTTTGGGGGTCCCCTCCCCCCAAAAAAAGAAGATGAGGCACCCACATCTTTCCGGGTGAAGCAGCGGCCTGCCTTCCCGCAGGCCCTGTGAAGCGACGAAGTGGCAGCCTTGCGAGTGGAAAGTGCCGCCGCGATTTGACGCGTTTTGGTTGGTGTGTTTTTTTTGGGGGAGCCCCCTTTTCCTTGGTTTAGCTTCTTCAGCAATCATTGTAGGGGCGAACACTTGTTCTTTGTTTCGTGGATTTGTGCGCCCGGAAAGAATCCGAGACTTGCGCGCGAAGCCTGCGCACAGAAGGGCTTGCGCTGAGACACTCGCACAAGGACATGTTGCAGAAAGCAGACTGCGCAGGGAAACATGCACAGTGAAGCTTGCGCAGAATGTTGGGCAGGGCTTGTTTGCAGATTATTGGCAGAGAAGCTGGCGGACAGAAGCTTGCGCGCAGAAAGACGCGCGCAGAACGATTTGTGCGGAAAGAGCTGCGGAAGGGCTTGAAAGACATGTGCGGAGATGCGTGCGCGGCGAAATCTGCGCGCGAGAGACTTGCGCGCACGCACAAGTTTGAACTTGCGCAGAGCAGCTTGCGCGAAGAAATCGAGGCTTGCGCAGAAACACTGCTTGCTGGCTCGGTTGCCTGCTTGCCTGCTTGCCTGCTTGCTTGCTTGCATCCGCGCTTGCATGCTTGTCAAATTACGGGAGCCCCCAAAATGGCCCTTGGGTTCCCCCTTTGGTCGCCCTCAAGGACCATGACTTTCCTTCCTTTGAGCACTCGTGTGAAATGCCTTGGGGAAGTGAAAGGACTGGCGCAGCTTTGGGGAAGTGGCTGCCTGAGGGTGCCCTACGATGGGTCCTGACAGACCAAATGTGTTGGGTCCCTGATTACTTCAGAACAGGAAGAAACCAAATGGGCTACTTCTTTTTTTTTTAGGTAGCACTTCATTGGATGGCTTTGTTGCTCTTATGACTACGCATTCGCCTGGCATTTTGGCTCGAAGCCGGAAACAACTTCCGTGCACCCGTGAACAAGGCTTGCGTAACCGTTGCCAGATGAGCCACGTCGAGGAATTCCGTGGATTTTGTTCCCCTCAAAAGGGCACCTATAGGTCAGATTCACGGTCAGAGAGGAGGGGGGAAGTTGCGTGTGTGGCGGTCGTTGTTGTTGCGCTGCTGCTTGATCATTCTCGTGTATGTAAATTGTCTATCTCCAGGAGCACGGATTTTGAATGGCCCTTGCCTGGTTATGTGCAATCGGGGGATTAACGCGGCTTGTTGCTACCTTGCCAGACTTTGTGTTTGCTTTTGTGCCGATACTCCTCTTCAAGTGAACATGAAGCCCCCAAAACAGGGGGGGGAGTTTCTTCATTTCAGCGGTGTATGTGTATGGTTGTGTCATTGGGTGTCAATGAGCCAAGATTTGCATCCCGGGCTGAGTCTCTGCGTCAGGCGGGTCCCATGGGCGCGAGCACCAGTTGTGGCGAGCCTCAAGCACTCGTCGGGTAAGGGCGCTTCAATTTTGTTAAACCGTTGTTTCCAGGTCCTTTGCGCAAGTGAGCTTGGTGATGGTTGGATGCTGGCCCCTGATGTTGGTTTTCCGCTCTTTCCAAGAATCACAGAAGCTGACAGGAGGGTTTTGGAAGACTACAGTGCTCTTGAAAAGCCTTTCCACTTCCATGGTTGCCGGAGAAAGAGTATGTGCTTGTTAACTCCTGAGTGGCTTGTCGTATTTTCTCGATTTGGATATTCCCTGACTTCGCGGCCTTTTGGATTTCAATATGGGCGGGGTCGTCAAAACTTAGTTTCAGGTGGCTAGACGTTGAGCACTCGGGTCGGAGTCTGGAGTGCGCGCCTCTGCGACAGTTGAGAGTTCAGTCCCACGCTCTTTGATCGATCTAGTCCAGGTCTTCCATTTGCTTAAGAATATGTTTCCCCTTGTCGGTATTAAAGGGAATCTATCACTACTGGAAATATCTTTTTTTTCTTTTTTTTGTCCACTGGTCTTAACCAAATGGAAGAGGTGGTATGCCACTCAAAACCGGGCCAAGCAACTTGCCCTGAGCTATTGGAGCTGGCCATTTTGTCGTCTAGTCCAATCACTCTGCTCCGGAGCAGGTAGCTTGAGATGCAGATTAGGTACACGTAGTCCTACATGAATGTTGTGTCATCTACTGCAGACTTAGCAACGGTCAATGGGGAACCCCTGTTCTGGTATCAAAAGAGAAAGCAACCTGGACTCAAATCCTGAGTTACTTATACTTTTTGGGAAGACCATTTTAGTGGCAAATAACAGTTTTGAATTGTTTGACCAATCCACTCGGGAAGTGAGTGGATGGGGTTTCTATTTTTGAGACAATTCCTGTACCTTCCCGCCTGACCCGTCGAATGGCTGCCCCAAGGCTTCGAGGCGTTTGCCCCACCGCAGAAGCCGAAGGGGAAGCTGGTCTTCAAGTACTTCGATATCGCAGGCGTCGGAACATGGGCGTCTGTTGTTGCGCCGGGGGGGGGGGGGTGGGAGGGGGGCGGGGGCGGGGGGCGGGGAGGGGGGGGGGAGGCGGTCCTTTGATGAGACACAGCCATAAAGTGAACCTCTGATCACCCCAGACTTTGCCTGGCTTACGATTTGTTTCACGCAGAAGTGTCAACAAGCTTCAGATAGTTCAAAGGCAGAAACGACAAACCCCTCATCATGATGTCTGAAATGAATCATGTTTGATTTTGCTAACCCTATGGGGTGCTGATGTCGAAGGGGGACATGATTGTGTATGGTCTCTCCTTTCTTGGAGGGTGCCCCTTTGAAGTCTGGGGGACAACCAGTGTTTCTCCCTCATGTTAAGGCGCGAGTCTTAAGTTCTAGAACTGTGCAAAACCACCATAAACGAACGGCATAAAGAGGAGAAACACAAGAACAGGTAGGCAGGAATCCTAAAGCATAGTCGCAGTTGCAAAACCAACAACCTACGGATATTCACGAACACGAAACTTTGCAAGCAAGCCTTTGCGCTATTGAATGCCGCGCAGTATCGTCAAACTACATGTCCGCGGAGAAGGCTACGGAAAGACTACATGAGACTACTGGGGATCTGTGCGAAGACAACAAGAAACTACAGCAACACTGCGGGAAGATCACGGAGGGCTACAGGATACTTCACAATACTTATGTGAAGTTAGGCAGACGTGCAACACCCGAACTCAGCGCAAACCGATAAGGAGGAAAAAACACCAAGTGTGATGAGAACGTGTCAACACCTTGTCATGTTGTCTTTGTTGCACCCCGGTTGGTTAAAATGGACACAAATCAAGATGGATGCGAATTAATTTCCCGGCCCCAAAACGACAATTGTGTAAGGAAACTCTTGCTGGGGCCTCATTGTTGGCCTCCATGTGGACTTGTGTCAAGTATAGTGTCAAACTGGTGGGTTTCCTTCGGTGTCCCTTTACACCAACGTGAAAAGGGTTCCCTCAAAGAAACGCAAGTCCATGTCAACTTGCGGCGGGGTAAGGGCATCACTTGATGTCCGCAAGTAATGGAGGCGGTTTGTGGCATCTACTTTCACCCAAGCTGAACATATTTTAGCCCATCGTGATTCTAGAGCCATCCGCAACTGGTCAGCATAGCAGCTGACTACGCCAACCTCCTTTTGGCTGCTTTGACAGAAGGCAGGCTCCGAGCCAAACCAGCCGTTTCCGGAACTAGGGGGTGTGCCCCTTGCCATGCGCTGTCAGCCTTCTTCCCAGCGGATTGCGGGGGGCCACTTCGCTGCAGGCCGCGGCGAGGTCATCCGCCTCGCGCTGGTGTTGGGCGAGTGCGTCAATCGAATTGACGCGTGGGTTGGGGCTGGGTTGGGGGTGGGTCAGATGCAACCTTCCAATTGCTTAAGATTTATTTTTATATATTTCCTTGCGGTTTTAAAAGGAATTTATTACTACTGGAAATAATTATTTTTTCCAGGGGTCTTAACCAAGTGGCAGCAACTCTTGGCAGAATTCGTTCAACCAACTATCGCGTTTTGGGGAGGCATCGTGTTTCTGAGATTCCTTGGGAGAAGGGTCGGGCTGAACATGTTTACGCCTGAACCGTTTAGACCCCGAGATTGACCGCGTCCAGAATATGTCTCATTGTTCCCTAACCAATTTATGAGTACTAGATCCATGGGGTCTAGATTTGGGGGGTTTTTGGCTATCTCGAATTATCTCGAATTATCTCGAATTATCTCGAATTATCTCGGTCAGGTTGAAAGCAACTTGCATGTTTGGGATTTGTTTCTGCATTTTTTGTCATTGGTATGATGTGTGTCTTCATGAATGCCGTGCAATTTTGTTGATTTTGCATTTTCATTTTGTAAATATTTGTTCTAATGCTGACGCATGATGGTCGGTCATTGTGTTTTTACTGATCTTAAACCTGATTGCATCGGCTCGTAGCAATCAGGGGGCGGTGATGATGTCAAACGGTGTGTTTGTCGCGTTGCCTTCAGCTTCACCAATTTCAATCAATGATGTCCCGAATATATCATCAACCGAAATCCCTTCTGATCCAACGCATGGTGGAAGATGCGTATTACTACAGAAGTGACTGGACAGACATGGACCTGCATTTGGAAAAGGAGTGGGCAAGATTTGCAGAGGACGGGCTGGGCTATGACCAGGTGACCAGGTGGCCACTGGATGCAAGTGTGATTTACGAAAGCGAGAGTGACAGTGACCACCATGATCACTCCTGTCCAAATTCGAACGCTCTCAAAATCATGATTGGAAGCTTGGCTGTCGGGCTGCGGGTCCATGAGTTGGGTGAAATAAGTCAGGTCGGGAAACCTGTGCAGCCGGATTTGGTCGTTGCTTTGAATGCAGCTGACTGGCAGTACGAGCATGGCATGGAACGTGTGGAAAACACAGCAGCAGTAGATCGCCTAGCTTATGGCCTGTGGGATAAAACCCATCTACAGGGTGAGGAGTGGAACCTCTTCAAGAACGACTTCAATCGGACTTGGCAGCACATGTATAATGACATCAAAACTACACGGGCTTGGACTGAAGGGCGTTGTCGCAGCATCTTGTTTCATTGCCATGGTGGAGCGCATCGGAGCACATCTGCAGCTGTGGCGTTCCTATTGATGCACCATCGATGTAGCCTTGAAACTGCAGTCCAATGCATTTTGAGAAAGAGAAAGTCGCTGCGAATGTGGTGCAACAGGGAGTACATCATTGAAGCTCTTGTGGCACTGGAACATTCGATCTTGTCAGAGACCTCTGAGACTCTGAGCCAGGTGTGAGTTTTGAGCTCCAACTTAGTTTCACCTGTGTGTGACAGGCTTTGCTACGAAATGAGCAACGACATGTGACATGTGTGTGTGTGTCACAACCCACGATCGTCCGTTCACACTTTTCATTTTTTGCATTGCCAAAAGTAATTAAGTATTTAAGTCAAATTTGTCCCACTCCCTTCACTCAGAAAGTTGAATGACTGAGAGGCCTGGCTGGCGCGTTGATGCGACTTTGACTTTGATTCATGGACCTGTTACTGAGCTACTGACTCCAGGACGTGTTTGCAATTTAATTGTGCTACGGAAATTGTGTGTGACATTGTCGAGTCAACAAATGCATTGCTGCAATTCAATAGTTGGATCTGAGGGTGACTGAACCCTGCCCATAGTAGTGTTGAGGCCGCCTCGCTTCCAAGATGAAGCGCCCTGCTGCCAAAGCGATAATGAAGCGCCCTGCTGCCAAAGCGATGAAGAGTCCTGCTGCTGCAAGAATCGAGAAACGTCCGGCCATGCAGGTGGATGATGACGAGGCTGAGGACCTGGAATCTCTTCGTCTGATGCTTTATGGCCAGAATGAGAACGACTTCCGCTTCAACAAATGGCATTCGTTGGCGCCAAAGGGTAAACGGATTTTGATCCTGGCAATCTTCAAAGTATTTGGCGCTGATGATAAGGATATTGAGGAAATGACGCATTTCAGCATGAGCCTGAAGGACTTGCAGATTCAGTGGAAGGACATTACGGACGAGTTGAAACGGAATTTCAGTGATGGTCGGATCCGCGGATATATCTCGGCGGTGGTTAGGTACCTTACGACTCCAGGTTCTTCAACTCATGTTGAATGGCTGTGCTTGGCTATCAAGGTTGCCAGTGCTGTCAGGGGAGTCACGGATCGTGTGATTGATTCAGAAGCCGAAGCAAGTTCAAGCTCTGAAACATCATTTGAGATATGACAATCTAACCCAGCAAGCCAAACAGTGTGTTCCTTGATTCCATGGCAGCACTGGTGGGATGTGGAGCCGGCGTGTTTGAAAGTGAGTGTTTGAAAGTTGTGTTACCAAAATTCCGACCTGGCAGGTGCTGGTGGCTGAATCTGGACTTTTGCATCATCAGTGTCAGGAACTCAGGCTTTGCGTTTGCTGTCTGTGACGTGTGTGCCATGACATCGAGTCAGTTGTTACTGTTACTGACATTGACTCAGACTCAAGGAAAAACAGTGTGTTGGGTCTGCGCTTTTTGCATTGTGACGCCATGTCGCGCCGCACTGTTCTTGACGTTACTGCCACTCCGCTCGTCAAGAAGCAGAAAGATGAGAGCGGCGGCGCCAGCCGCAGTAACAAGATCTACAGTCACTGCGGGGCAGGCCCAACAGTTTTCTACATCCCAGTCGTTGAAGAGGCCTGGCTCACAATTGGGTGGGACTGACTATGTTACATGTGTTGGCCAAGTTGCTAATTGACAGATTAAGGTGTTGAAGAAGACGGTTTTCACATTGGAATTTGTTGCTGGCCCAGTGCGCACTGTGCATTGTCTTGTGCTGGCAGGTGAAATATCTGTGGGGGACAAAAGATGTGAGCCCACTTTACCAGCCGGGCGCGCGCTACCACTTCTCGCTGCGCTCGGAACTCAAGGTGGCAGTGGAGAGGGGAACGTGGTACCGGATGGACAACTATCCTGAGGCCCAGTGCCTTAGCCTTACTAACTGCTGATGCATTGAAGAGTTCCTAATCCACTTCATATTCATATGTGAGTGTGACTGGGACAATGTGAGGCCGTGCTGGTGCTGCTGCTGCTGCTGTTGCTGCTGCTGTTGATGATGTTATTGTTGTTATTGCTGTAGTTATTGCTGTTATTGTTGTTATTGCTGTAAGTGTTGTTATTATGTTGTTATTGTTGGTTATTTGTGATGTTGTTTGTATTATTGGTCTTGCTGCTGCTGCTGCTGCTGCTTTTTTGTTATAATCTTTGTCTTCTTCTTTCTTTTATTGTGCTTCTTCTTCTTCTTTGTTGCTGTTGGTGGTGGTGATGGTGCACAGCTGCGAAATTACTAAAGACTGCTTGCTGGAAGTGGCAAACAGGTCAACTAAAACATGGTAATGTAATCTTGCGCAGACACAGTCAGTTGTCAGCTGAGTCCGGAGATCATCTTCATCAAGATGTCCGTCACGAAGCTGGGAATGCAAACGCTTCAACAGGACAAGATGCTAACGTGCCAGGGGCAAGGCTGGTGGAGGTTCCACATGCCCATCAGCCAGAGCATGTTCCTGGAAGAGGGCAACGCTGACTCACTTCTCTTTGAGTGTCTGCTATGCGAGACCTCGGAGCGGCTCGAATGAGTGAGCCAAACACTGTGTTACAACAGTGTTGTGATTCAGTCACGGGGGGCAGATGATGACTGGCAATGATTCAGAACATTAAATTGACGTTGCTGTCAAATATTAACCTTGTCATTCACATGTCACAGCAAAACCAGTCACGATCAACATCTGCATCTCAGACTGCGAATTGAACTGACACAGTGACTCAGTCACTGTCACTGTCACTCACAGACAGAGCGTTTTGATGCGGAAGGGAAAAGATAAAGACTAACCTGCTGCCATTGAACTTACAGAAGCACAAGTGAGAGCCATGTCATGTAACTAGGTTTTTAAAGGTCTGCAAGGAGCCCTCACTCACAGTCACGGTCAATGCTGTGTCGTGAACTAGTGGTGATTTCTGTGACCAGGTCCGCCAGATGGAGATGCTCATTTACGGTGTGCTGCCCTCAGCCAAAACTTGACATTAAAAGCCTTGAGTCAGGACTCAGTGTCATTAGCTTTCATTTCAGTTCAGCCTTCGTCAATCTTTGTGAATTGCCATGCCTGCAGCTGTGATATGATCAGGCCAGACACTGTGTCATTCACTGTGTCCTGTCTTTGCAGCCATGTTTCATTTAGTGATTCAGGAACTCAAGGCCCGCCTTGGCCAAGGCACACAAATCAGCGGGGCAATTGCCACTCCGGAGCCTAGCAGCCCAGCACCTGCAAAGCAGCATCACAAGGCTTTCCGCTCTGCCGGAACGGTGGCCCTTACTCTGCCTGGGCAAGAAGGCCAGACAGTGTGTTATTCTTTGCGGTACAGATATCTGGGGGCCGGCTGTCACCGAGATGCTTACATGGTGAGTGATCTGAGGCACCCAGAAGATGAATTCAATAGGTTGGTGATGAAGGTGTCCAACAGCCATGATCGGTCGATGCAAGAAGACATCTGCTGCATAAATGCGGTGAGGGATCAGGCTCCGAGTTTGGCGAAATTCTTTCCCGAAATGCTAGCCTATCTCCCACACATGACGTGCAGGGGGAAATGGAAAGAATCGAGCCATTGCCTGCTCCTGCAAACTGCAATGGGTGATGGACAGAGTGTGGCAAGACGAGCGGCGGAGCTGACACAGCAAGAGCTCTATGTGCAAGCAGCTCTTGTCATGATGCAGGGGGGCCTGTTTTTGTTGAATGTGCAGGAGGCGGCCTTTGACAATGCAAATGGCCAATTGATCACGGACCTGC